AATTGGACGATAATGAAGATTTGTCAATTCTAAACATTGACCCAAGAAACACACAAGCAGTGCCACTATAAAACTTCACTTAAAAAATCTCTGAATGGTGTAAAAAGTGGAAATTTGAGATATGCACCACAGGTGATACCCCTGAATGGGAAAATAGTTCCTAATGTGGACTCTGTTATCTAGGTTTCTTATTGCAAAATGAACAAGGCACCACACCTTAAATTAAAACCAATAATTGGACCAACATCATCACTACTTTCATTTTAAGAGACTCCTGGTTCTGAAGTCTGGTTGAACTTCATTGTCAAAGCAAGCTACACTGATCTACAGCTGTCTTCACGCAGCCATGGTAGATCATATTAATAGTCTCATCTCAAACTATCCTCCACCATAAAAGATGCGTAAAAAGAAAAAGACAGTCATCTTCAAGTAAAATATCGACTAAGTATCGCAATTTATGTTAAATATGTATTTTTTTAACATTGGGAGAAGGTTGACGCAGAATTATGACAATGCTCTCCTCCACTAGATCTATTGTGGAAATGTTAAATATTGATCCATTTAACATGTGTTCACAGACTCGCAGATCAACAACCACCACCATCTGTTTGGATTTTGCAGTATTTAAAAATAAACCCGGCGATTTACATTATCACGAAGAACAGTCGTAAAATCACGATTGACTTGTGAATTAATAGGGAAATCCGTTTAAATCGAATCTCTTATCAGCTAAAGATATTAATTTCCTTAATGCAATAATTAATAATAATTGTATCACACAAGGTCAGTAAACAGAAACCCTTTGGCAGCGACGCCCGTCGATTTTTTCTACTTTCACGTCTCAGAATTACATAATGGACTGGGTCAACAATTAACAATCTCCGGTTACACGGGTTACAAGAGATTTTGCACTATTTTTATTCTATTTATTAAAACTAAGGTCTATATTTATCAATTATTATCATGTAAAAAAATCAAACTGAACTAAATTATGTGTTTTTATTGCTCTGACTCACTTGAATTTTACAGTTTATTTTGATTGCTTTTTACTATTTAATAGGTTTAGCCACGATCAGGGCATTTTCTGTCATAGTTTCCGCACGTTTTTCTAATTTATTTTAATAAGTTTTCTTTCTGCTTTCTGTCTTCTTGCATTGACAATCCGTTTTGTCACCTTATTCACAATTTTTACAAAGTTTTTGATTGGAATTTGTGGTTATTTTATTTTCCCTTGGTAGTTATATTCTTACTAGTTAATTAAATTTAAATTCTATTGTTAATTACACTGAATTTCCAATTTTGTCGTTCCTTTATTTTTTATTTATTTTTATGCGTATTAATTATGTTGTTTCACTTCTGAATTCTTTATTTGAGCAGCTGGATATTTTTATTAATTGACAAACTCTGTTTGCATGTATGTTTTCCTTAATTTTTTTCTTAGGATTTCATTTTCTTTTTGACATGGAGGTTAGAATTGTATGTTTTTGTGGAATTTGTGTAATTTGTGGTCAGTTAGAATTTTTAGCGAATAAAGTTTTTATATATTTTTACTAAGTCCTACATGCATTAGACGGATTCCATACACAGTTTAATTTTATTGCTTGATTTCATAGTTTAGGCCATATTCAGACCTTTTTTATGTCTTAGTTTAGTCCCTTTTTGCAGTTTCATTTAGTAAGGTTTTGTTGTTTTTCTTTAACTTTTTCTTTACAGTGGATGCTTTTAGATTTAGCTTCTCTCTTATTGTAAAAGGTATGAGATATGTTTTCTTAGGGGTTTCTCACACCATCTTCCTAAATTATTTCTGGCGTTTTGCATCTGATTTAAGAGTGTTTCTTTTATGGTGTATCCAGGTCATCAATTAATCCCCACTAAATGTTTCAAGTTTCACGATAAACTCTTTACCCACCCCCACCTCCCTAGCTCAATCCATGTCCTATATAATCTGGAAATGTCCCTGGGACCTCCTCGCTAAGGACTAGCCCTTGAGTAAAGTTAGGGGAACAACAATAGTTGCCAACTCCCCTCAGGGCGTGTATTATAAATATGCATTTCATGAATGTCAAAATGTATTATTTTTTACAGATGATAATAAATATTTTATTGCATTAGGAAAAAAAGTTAGCTATTGCTGTCAATTGTATGTCTGTGGTACTTGGTTTTTGAATAGGGTTTTTTGTTTAAGTTAAACTGGTCTTAGCGATTGATTTATTATTTAAGCATTTATTAATTTATACACTTTTTATTTCATTGCTAGTTTATCCTATATTTGTTTTTAATGTTCTATGTCTTTTTTCCTTCTATTTCGTTGTTTGGATTTTGAATTTGTATGAGCTCAAATCTGCACATTGAGAGGGAGAGAGTTGAGCCTAGTACTTCTCGCAGTACACCAGGCAATTCCAGCTTTTTTAATTTACAATAAATTAACGGAAGGCCTCTAGAATCTCCCCACCGCCATGTGTTCGTAGTCTGGGGTCATACCTAGGTCTTGTCCATCCAATCGCTGAGGTTGCTGTCAATAGCTAGGTCATTTCAGCACCCAACGCATGCAGTTCCCAATCCAAACCCATTCACACCCTTCATACATTTTTTCATATTTACATACCATTCACTTAATTAAGGTGAGGTGTGGAGTTTTGATATTCCAACACATTTGTGTATAGGGTAACTAACTAACCTAATAGATGATGGGTACTCAATATTCTGCCTGTTCACACTACATATTCACGCTAATAAATACATTCACTCTCAACACATGCTAGGGGCACACTATCATTGCCACATCTGATAAAACGACCCTGTTTTTACCAAGAAACTGAACATGGGACCCAGATACTCGCTGCCTTGTTCAAGCACAATGCCCATGTCAGGTGGCACATGCTTTCAATGGAGTCTAGGAATTGCACCCTTCAATTTGATGGGACACTTTCTATCTATTTTGTTGTTTTATTATGCACTTATTGTTTATGTGTTAAACTTATCTACATTTAACCTATAAGTATGGCATATTGTTTTGCAGGTTAGTTGTTTGTTTATAAATGCTTCTTTTGAAAAAAAAATGGTAACTTATTTTAATTTGTTCCAGGGTGATCAATTCGAAAGATCATTCTTTTGATTAAATTTTCCGCCCCAGTTAATAGTTAAGATATAGTCATCCATGCCAATGCTGTTTTCTAGCGTTCACAGTAGATAAGATAAAAAAGTTTTTAGAATATAAAATTAAAAACTTTTTTTTTATTACATCGTGTATGTGTCTGTTTGTTATTTTGAGATAGAATAAAGCAGGTCACCGGTTCAATGCTATTAATTTAATACAAATTCATTGCTCCTATTTATCATAATCAGACAACTAGATCGGCAGTGTTATTTAATTAAGAGGGAAAAAAACTTGTAGTAAATGATACCTGATAACATTTGCATAGTAAATCGCCTTGTTAATCGTCACCGGGTTTCTATATAAATTTACAAATCCTGAAACAGATCTGCATATTTTTAAAAATTTTGTATTAGTAGTTCAGCGGAAAACATTGTAATTGTGTCAACGTATTCTTTTTATCAGGCATTGAATAAAAATACTTAAATTTTATATAAAATAAATAGAATTTAATATTAAAAGAATTTAGGGTATCCACAAATAGGGTAATAATTACAAATTAATTATGAAACTAGTTTGGTCGTTTCTAAACATTTTGATCTGTAAATTGGTGCTGTTTTCAAGTTTTCAACAAATGACAGTCTTTTTAGACTGTGTTTTTTGTGTGTTACTATTACAAACAACTCAGGCGATTAGTAGTTCAAGGTGATTAAGGTCTATCTGGCAGCCACAAAGCAAAAACAATAATAATTAAAAAAAAAAGCTAGCTTTTATCTTTCTTATTTAGAATTTTAAGATGTTACAATTCCCCTAGTTATTACATTCTACTGGTATTCTGATTTTATTATTTAACACTAATGCATTGGGGGAGGGGATACAATAAAATAAAACTTTCTATCTTTTATAATTAAGTTTGTAATGGATTGGATAATTTTTAATTATTTTACTTCGATTGTGATGAATAAAGAAGCATAATTATTACACACACAGTAGACTTTCGTATCCGCAGTTGAGAACTCACTAATGAAGCATTGGAAGAACAATTAAATCACCAAATATTAGGATGAAGTAATGGATAAAATATAAGAAAAACAGGGGCAAACAGTAGACAAATTTGGAGAAATCTTTCGATCAGCTCAAATGTTGAGAGATAAAATCATAAAATATCATGGAATGAAACATGAACGTATCACAACCCTAAGTCAAACCTTTCCAATTTTTAAAATTTTAAGCAGTTGAAAAAAAAAATCAGGCAAATATCAGCCTCCTATAAACTATGTTCTTTGAGAATACTGAAATAGTGAACTTTGCTCATTCATCACCATCTACTTCTAACGAATTTATCATTTTTTATAAATTTTATCTTTTTTAGGTCCTAATAATATTTTCTCATTTGTTTCAATATTGTGTGCATAAGCGGTGTGTGTACATATGGTTTTCCTGCTTGGAATAAACGTTACATATATACAATAAATTTTGTTCTATTAATTAAGGTTTTTAACTGAGATAAAAAAAAGTTAGTGTCACGAGCGGGATTCGAACCCATGACCTTTGGATAGATACACTACTACTCTACCACTTGAGAGATGGGTTTGAAACTAGTGAAGTTATATTTTGTATTTACCATACATTGTATTTTCTTAAAAAAAAAAAAAAAAAAAAAAAATTGAGTACCTGAAATTCAGGTACTGGATACAAAATAATTAATGTTTCGGTATTATAAAGAACCTTAAATTGGAGTTGGTTTGTAAATTAAATTCTTTAAATTAGTTACAAAGTTAAAATCACAACTTATATAATTGATTATTTGAGTATATAATTATATGTATGTTGACTTTCTAAGTATTTATAGAGCAGTTTAACAATTATTTATTAAGTGTAATATAATTTCTTTAAATGTTTTTAGAGGAGTGCCTGGCTTGATTTGTTTTTGGCTGAATCACTTTGGGAGTTACATGGAGGAAAAACACCTGCTGAAATAATCTCTCTAAGCAGGTAACTAATTTTATAATAACATAGCATTACGTTAACAATAATTTCTATTCTTTTATTTTCAAGCAATAACATTGGAAATGTGTTGGCAAATGAAATAGTCGCCGATATTAAAAATATTTGCACGCTCCGTAGCGAAGATGATGATTTCAAACCAATCCAGAAACACTTTTTGTGTGGGAGAGGTTGGAGGAGCATCGCGCTTCTCCATGCACTCGGAGTGCAGGTAATTTGTGAAGAAACTAATTGTTCTTTTCTTGTAATTTACTGCCAATTTATTTTTTTTAGGATGTGTTATGTGCTGCCGAGCTGACGAACCTATTGACGTCGGTTTACGCAGTGGATGATGGACACACTGACAGTGTGAATCCTTTTGTCGTCCACAAGACTGCCCCTGATATCGAACAAGTCTGTAAATTTCGTTTGATATCTAAAGTCAAATTAAGGCTGTTCTCCATATCAAACGGTATTGATGGTTCTTCTCCAGGGCCTAGCCGAAAAGTTAGCTCTTCCTCGCATTGCAAAAGAGAAAGAAGACAAGAGGAGAAGGTGAAAAGTACTACAGATTCGGAAACGGTCGAACCCGAACCTCACAGGGCACACTCGTTAAAACTATGGGTCGATCCTATGGATTTGGAATATTGCACGTCAGTGCGTAGCGATGATGAATTAAAAAGAAATCTCTCATGCCAGGCAGCATTTTTTAGAAAGAAAATTAAGAAACTTGTACCTGATGATTTTAAAGATGAAAAAATAACAACAGTTTTAAAAGAAGAAATGAGCAGTTATCAATTCCGTGTGTTAGTAGTCGAAATATTGGAAGGATTTTGCCAGATGGAAAAGCCTAGAAACAATCTTACTATAGCGTGTTTTAATTTTGCTCTGGAACAATTGTGTTCTCTGCAATTTAGCACTGTAGCTAACGCGTCCAAACAGATCAATGAACTTAAAGGTGGTATGACACGTTTGTTTTTGACAGCATTAGACAAAGTGCTATTACAAGAGGATGCCACCAACTCCATTGTTACTAAAGGTGCCTTACCAATTATGCTGAGACTTTTAGAAGATGGAATCATAAAAGCTCATAATAGTAAAAAGTATAATGCGCTTTTACAAGACTTCATTTTTGGAATGATGTACGCTGTGATTAACCTGATTCATAGTCTTCTTTTACAAAACCAAAATCCAGAAAAAATACCAATTTTTTTTCCATACTTTCAACAGTTTTTACATAGTTTTAATGGTAGGATTATCGATAAAACAATTTTTTGTATGATACAGGATAACAGCGAGGGCTGGGATACTTTAAACCGTGTTAAGAAAATAATAGAATTGCTCAGTGAATTGATTTTAACCTTTAAACAAATTCGAACCAAATTTGTTCATTTAAGGACTTGTAAAAAAGCAAAACACAAGGGTTGCCGTTATGCATTGGTGTCGCATCATCATGATAATATTTTTGGAAAAGTGTTTACAAACAATTTACTTCCATCTTCCCACTTGAATGTTCAGAGCTGTGCGATTACCTCTCTATTTATGATTTTTACCAGATTTCTTTCGGAACAGGCAGGAAGAGAAATTACTATAAAAACAATGCAAGCGATGATGCAGTGTGGAACTTGCTGTTGCTTTCCGGCGCCAACTCTCGTGTCTCGTATCTTGAAGGTGATCCAACAGTCGGATACAAAAGTCAAAAATCTTGGACTGTTACTTCTAGAAAAAACGATTTATCGAGAGGTGGGAGCGATAGATTTAGTCACGATGTGCCAGGTGTGCCTGAATGTCGAAGAAAAGGAAGACAAATCTTTCGCCGATCTTACAAAACACAGATGGACTTGTCTAGAAGCGTTTCAAGACATGCTGCTTTCATCAAATTATAACATAACTTACACAATAGGTTCCCACCTCATGAGAATAACCCCTAGATGTTCCATTCAGGTAAAGCGCGAAATACTTTTTGGTGTATTTTACCCCGTTTTTCTAAAAACAAAAAGACAATATGAGAGCAATAAGACTGAGAAGGAAAGATTGACTACAACCATATGTCTTTTAGCATTCACCAATCTTCTCGGACGGATGAGATTCGCCGATGAATTTGTACATAGAAATGGCATGGTCCATATTTTAGATTTGGTTAAAGATAGAAACTTCACTAATCATTGTTGCATAATAATCGAAATGATAATCATCATATGTGTGTGGAAGTTAGAGAAACAAAATATCGCTGATATGCTTGAAGAAAACTTACTAGAAATTCAACCACTTCTTGATTTTGTCCTCAAATGCACGACTGAATATCTCAACTTAGTGAGGAAAACGGAAGTGTACACCAGGAAGGAAAATTGTACTGAAATTATTTTCCCCAAAGAGACTGACATCGACAACTATAATAAAATACTCGAGAAGCTTGGGTTTTTCTGGAAAAGTTGGATGAATCTGTGCCTTTACTGTCCACAAATTCGCGCCTTTTTCGACAGACGTTTGAGCATGACTTGTCACACCCTTCTTTTACCATTTTTACAATTTATCTCAAAAAGGATAAAGAAAAAAGGTAATTCATTCATTCATTACTACATAAAATTCTATATACGATCTAAAAAAAATTTTTCGTTTTAGAAGAAGGAAGAACAGACTTTAATGATAAAATTCACTTGTGCAATCAACTGCATTTGAAATTACTGGAATCACTAATAATTTTGAGTGTCATTTGCCCATATTCTGGGAACCCAGGTACTGTTTATTAACTTTAAATGCACAATAAAATTTTTTTATAATGTTACTTACATTATACAACCAAAGTTGGCTTTACGATAATCAGAACATAACCACATTTCTACTTAAAAATTGATGAGTTGGTAAATTATGTTGAATAAATTTATATTTTGGATTTTTTTATGAAAAGCATTAATTTGATAATACCCCGTGATTTGCTTACAATTGGAATAAATGGGGATTCAAAATGATAAGTTTGTGGCATGGACGATCGAAGTCATGGTTCAAAAAGTAAAGCAGCGGCAAATTTAGCCAAAAGTCGTGGCTTTGAATACCACCTGTGACAAATTTTTCAATTAGAAAAAAAAATGTGTTCTGATTTAGTTGTTTATAAGGAAAAAAAATTATATTCTAATTCTTTTAATATTTACAATTAATTGACTGTTTTATTCTCTTAGGAGGGATATTGGGCTTAAAAACCAAACTGGAAGAAGTAATCGAAGGAGAACTTGGTCTAAAGCAAATTTGTGACGTCTTTATTCGAAGCAGTGGTGCAAACCCTAGTAAAAAGATTTTGGTTCCTATCCATCCAATGCCAAAAGTTTGTTTTTTAAAAATAAATAATTTTTTGTCTATGTTATTGTATTTACTGAGTCTGGTTATGTGCAGCTTGATTTAGAATTTGGACTAGCAAACGCTTTAGAGGACGTTAATTCTGATTCATCTCTTGAAAATTCCGCAGATGAAGGATACGACGCTGATATCGATTTACCTTGCCAAACCCTACAAGTAAATATGAAAATTTGTATTTATTGATGTAAATTAAATCAAATGCGGTGCTTATGCTTTATATACCTTTCACTAACCGAGACAAAAAACATTAAATACGTGTTTTTTTACTTTTTGTAAGGAAAGAAGTTAAGGCAAAAATAAATACAAAAACCATAGATAAGATTCAATCATATTTATTGCAACAATATTGATCAAATTAGTTACATTTAAGTCAGCCACAACTATAAAGCAAGGGGTGAAGTTATTTACAAGATGTACTTACTCTAGATGACTCTCGTCATTCGACTCCCCTAGTCTCAACTCTCTGGTTTTGTGTCATTTGACTCTCTTTAGTTTTGACTCTACTCATTAGTCGATTCTGTTTGTGTCAACACTTTCTGGTTTTGACTCTAGTCATCATTCGACTGTCCTGGTCTCAACTCTCTCTGGTTTTGGCTCTAGTCATCATTCGACTCCCCAGGCCTCAATTCTCCCTGGTTTTGACTCTACTCATCATTCGACTGTCCTGGTCTCAACTCTCTCTGGTTTCGACTCTAGTCATTATTCGACTGCCCTCAACTCTCCTAGTCTCAACTTTCTTTGATCTTGACTCTCCCTAATGACTTGACTCTACTCATCAATAGGCTCTACTGGTCTTGACTCTCCCTGGTCTCGACTCTCCTGGACTCGACTTTCTTTGGTCTTGACTCTCCCTAATATTGACTCTACTCATTAACAGACTCTCCTTGGTCTCGACTTTCTTTGGTCTTGGCCCTACTTGTTAGTCAGCTCTCCTGTCTCAACTTTCTTTGGTCTTTACTCTACTTTTTAGTTGACTCTCCCTGACTGCACTCACCAGTTGACTCTCTGGGTGTCAACTCTCTTTCATCTTGACTTTCCCTAATCTCGATTATACTCATTAGTCAGCTCTCCTGGTCCTGACTATTTTTGGTCTTAACTCTCCCTTATATCGACTATAATCATTAGTCGGTTCTCCTGGTTTCAGCTCTACTTGTTACTACACATTGACGTTCTTTAGTCTTGACGTCGTCAGTCAACTCTCCTGGTCTTGATTTCTTTTGTCTTGACTTTCCCTCATTGAAGTTAAACTGACTTTACTCATCAGTTGACTCACCTGGTTTTGACTTTCCCTTATCCCGACTTTACTTGTTAGTCCACTTTCCCTGGTCTTGACTCTATTTGTGTCTTGGCACTTCACTGCTTCCTTCATGTCTCAATATATTTGATTTTCCAATCCTTGGAATATTGGATTATATTGGTCCCAAGTTGTTGGTAGGAAAAGCAAATGCATCCTGTGCCTGTACAAGACCCCATAATTTCTAGGAGCTTCCATTCCTAGCCCATCCGATTGACACAATCCTAAATTTATGGTGATACTAGCTTGCCTAATTGCAAAGTGTGAGAACTTTACCTTAATAAATAATTCAATACTGTTTTTTGAAAACATAATAATAATATTAACAATTGCAGTGTATTATTTATTCTAACTATTTGGGGTTTACAAAATTAATTAAATTATTTAATTAAATTGAAATATGATTTAAAAAATGTAAACTTTTTTAAAGGAAAAAAATAATGCTTCTGTGAAAGGGAGTTTACCTCCGAGCAGAAGAATCTCTTCATTGCATTATGACAGGCGGTACTGTACAATAGCCCATCCGAGTCTTTGGCATCTTGTCATTCATCTTATTGTGACGTACTACAAGTAACTTTTATCTTCTATTTACTTATATATTTTGTTTTATTAGTATTAATTTTTTTTTTTAATTCAGGGACAAGAAATGGTCAAAGGAATGCGTTCATAGCATTTACAAGTTGAGCTCATGCTTGAGAGACAATCCCGAAAATTCAGTCAAGCTTTCTAAAAGCGGTTTCAACAAAGAATTAATCTTGAAATTTTCAGATTTATTAATTTCAGATGAAAATAAAAATATTGGTAAGTATGGAAAAGTATTGAAGACAAGATTACTGATAATTTTATGTATTTTTTTTTTTTTTTTTTTTAAAGAAATGCAAAGTGCAGTGTTAGATTTGTTCGGACATTTGGCTAAGTACAATATTGACTCTAGTGAGCTAACTTTGTTTATTAGGCTTTTCACCGCAGATAAACCTCCTCTTGTAAGTAAGAGTTTAAAAAAAATCCTCGAAAAACAAAATTTTACAAAATTTTATATATATCTAAATTGTTCCCAGAAAATGTTATTACCGTGCCTTCTAAAATTATTGAGTGGAATTGTCCAACAGCCAAAATACATTTTATGCTTTCCAGCTGCATATTCAAATACAAACTTGGTCAACTCGACCAATGCTCACAAACTGAGTATATCAATGCATCAGAATCATGTATTAAGCGGTACGTTTTATTTGTTAATTTAAAAAAATTGTTTTTAAATATTGAAATATTTGACATTTTAAAAAATATTTTAGGAATGCATAATTCTTGGACGAGGAGTGCGCTATTTCTGCCGATCAACACTGAGCTCGGTTGGGCCATGTGGGTTCAAGGATTTTCCATTTCACTCTGGCTAAGATTGGAAGCAAATTTACCTTCAGAATCAATGGAACCAAATGATGGTATTATTATTATTATTAAAATTTAATAAGTAAATTTAAACAATGCTTTAATATACAGGGTACACAGAAAGTACAAGCTCTGAAAGTGGTCGAAGTTCCGGATTGGATGAGTTCGATGTCAATCAGTTGTTGCATATAATCTCAATTGGGTATGAAGCTCATGTTCTTGAATTTTGGGCTGATACTTCCCGAGGTATTAATGAACATTTAAAAAAAATTAATAAATTTTTTTGCTGTTTTGTTTTGTCACATTCTATTTATTTTTAGAATTGTTGTACATACGTTTAACACGTCCAGATGGGGCCAAGCAGGAAGTTGTATCCGAAGTTTCCCTCGAGGGTCGGTTGACATCTAATGCATGGCACCACCTAGCCATTTCAGTTCGGGATTCCGTTCACAACAGTAGAGTCGTCATTGAGGTCAGTTATTAAAAATCGTTCGTGTGATAAAATAATAATAATAATTTTAATTTCAGGTTTTATTGATAATTGATGGATGGTGTGAAATGCAAGTCCCTCTTATCTTTAAAGGGATTCTAATAAGAAAAACCAAGCCGACCAGTCTTATGATCGGTGATACCAGGTTTGGCGTTGAAGAGGGGCTCAAAGTCGGCCGTTGGCAACTCGGCGGGCTGATCATGTTTAGAAAGCCCGTACTCAACAAGAAAACGAGCATTTGGCTCACGGCTTTGGGTCCCGATTGTTACAACATGACCCATTGCAGAGTCGGAAATGTAGAACCAGCATGGCACTCAGTCTTCAACCCCAAAACGATGACAGTCGGGATACCATGGAATGATTTACTTAAAAAAAAGGACATAATAAAAGAGTTGCAGGTATCTAATTTTGATTTAGCTGTGTTAATAATTGTCAATAATTTTTATTTTTTTTATTTTTAGGAGGCTGTGTTGTTAAGTTATTGCTCAAAAAGCCCAGATGTGATCAACTTATATCCTATGGCTTCAGCTTCTTCAAGTAATATTAAGATTTATATTTATTAGAACTTTCAGTAAACAAGATTTGAAATATTTTATAAGTTATTAATAAAAAAAAGTTTTCTTTGATATGTATTTGAACAAACTTATTAATATAAGCAATTCTAGCATGTTGACAATTAAGTCTTATTGAAAATAAATATTTTTGAAGGGTTGACTTTTGATTTAAAAGAACATAGATTTGTAGGATTTTTTTTTAATGCAGGCGGGCTTGGTGGAGGATTCCGAGTGATTGGGATGGAGCAAAGGAGCAGTCAGCTCGTCCCGATGTCCGTACCTATCGTCATGTACTGCACTCCTATTTTGCAGAACTACAGCGCTCTGACATCCGCTATCGACAATTTGGGCGGAATATCTGTTTTTGTCATTCTCTTCGCCAGGGTATGCTGGAGATAATTTATAATATTCTTGTCATGGATAATTTAAAAAAATATATTTTTACCGGTAGGTGGTTGAGCTTGGCGGGAACGAGTTAGAACAGGCACAAGCCTTAGAATTATTATTGAGGTTGTGCCACTCGCAGCCTCATCTGAAATCGGAATCGTTCAGCTACCTTCCTCTTATGCGACATGTCATCGAGACAGATCTTTGTAAACCTGGACCACATATGCTAAAGGTAAATTGTGATATTTCATCCTGTGGTCTGCGGGCTGATGGACCTATAATTTTATAGTTACGTTCCTGGTCTACCTATCCTCATTGATTTTGTCTTTGTCATAAAATGCTGAAACTCTGACAGATAAAAACAACGAGGATAGGCAGATCAGTACGTTGATTATCAAACTATTATTTTATCAGTTGGTTATGCTTTTTTATTATTATTATTTTTTTTTATAGGCAATTTTGGATACTTGTTGCGATAAACCAGGGCTTATAACAGTATTGGCAGACAAGCATCAGGTGACCACCCATGGAGATTTCATTTTAACAGAACCGTTTGTAGTAACAAAATTGATAATTGGACCTGCGAAATTTTGGATGCCATGTCTTTCAATGTTTCTGGATGCGTTGCTTTACATTCTTAGAGACGACCATCCGTACAGGGAATTCAATTCAAATCAGCTCAACCGTGCAGAAGCTTTAGACGCCCTTCTTTACTTTTGCAAGGTTTCTACTTGTAATTTTATCCATTAAATTATGAGATTTATACAAAAATTTGAAAATTTAGGAAAGACTTGTTGAAGACATTGGAAAACTTGACTCTTCCGTGTGTGCGTCCCTTGTCGAAGTAATCAGAGGGCTGATGACTGCTCCGCCGCAGTTGCACCATCTCACTGTTTTAGCCGATTATTTATTACTTGCACAAGCGTCTTATATTTCTTTTGCAAGGTCTTCTCTCTATTTTGTTCTCCCTCCAAGGCCTCCGTCAAAATACAAAAAAACAAATAAAAGTATTCACCTCATCGATAGGCAGGATGTGAATGAGTATAAGGTTCTATTTACCCAGCCTGTTGACCCAGGGCAACTCGAAAATGCCGTTAATAATATTCAAGTATTTTATTTTATTTTTTTATCCGTAAGATTATTGTTTTAAAAGCATTTTCTCTCTTTAATAGTTGAGGCAAAGTGGGACTCAGGGAGTAAATTCTGTGGGGAAGGTTCGTATTAAAGAGATAATTAATAATCGGAAAGTTCCATCCTTCACCGATATCCAGGTACTTTAAACTCATATTCTTGATATTTCACTGTAAAAATTGATAAACAAATTTTAGCAAAGAGATACAGTGAGCAATACGAAGCATTTACATAACACAGGCCAGAATAGATTAATGGGTGATGTAAGTCTTAAGCAGCCCATAGACGATCAATATTATTGCACAATATTTTGGGTCATGCAATTTAATTGATCGTGTGTAGACGATATTGTAAGTTTGTGCAATACATGAAAAATTGAAAATATATTGTACAACCAGAAAATATTGCACTGTCTGTTGGCATTATTGTGCAATATCAGTCATTTTGTGAAGTATCAACAAGTGGTAAAATATTGCACAAACTTCAATATCGCCTTCAAACTATTCAAGTTCATTGCACAAACAAAATTTTGTACAATATTATTGAATGTTAAGGGGCAACTGTCAAATTATTGGGCAATAATATTGATCGTCTATGGGCCACTCTATCCTCTATTTATTAAAAAAAAAAAAAATAAAATAAAAAATAAAAAAAATAAACTTTACAAAAGTTGGTGACATTTTAGCCAAAGGAGACAGCGAGGAATAAATCAAACCATTCAAATTGCATACTGAACAACAGAAATGCGAATTATACAAGTGAGGATAGCTCATCTACAGAAGAAGAAGACAATAAATGCAAAGAGCATATCTTTACACAAGAAGAAAATGTATATTAATAACCAAAAAATATATTTATGCAAAAATCACAAATGTACGTTGTTTCCAGGCACCTGTGGATGTTAAAGAAGGCGACGACATAACGGTTGGACTTTTGAGCATTTTAAGAGATCAAATCGTCGTGTCACCAGACAATATGGCCCATACAGCTCTACAAAACATTTTAATACCAGAATCGTTTATCGCAATGGTTAATAAAAATAATACAAATATTACAACTGCTGTTGTTAGGGTAAATAATGATCTTATAACATTTTTGATTTTTTAAAAATTTTCATTATAAAAAAATTATTTTTTTTTTTTTAAAGGTATTATCAGTCTATTTAGAGAGAACTAATTCCGAAGAGAAAAACAGGTTTATCAAGTTTCGAGGATTTCATCTTCTCGCAATGCAGCTCAGTTATGTGATTCCTACTGCAGATTTGGCCGATGCGCTTGCTGGTATGCCATTAATGTTAAAAGTTTTTACAAATTATCAAGTTATTTATCGATATCGGAAATTTAAGGAATTGTGACACGTACTCATTGGTTGACGTTAAAACAGCAAGTGGAAGCCGACATAAATGACTTTTATTTGCCCGGCCTTCCTCCTCTGTTGAGCATTCTTCCAAAATCTGTAACTCATGTCACTCTCTCCCATGACATTACAGTTTTTCTCCACCATCTTTTTCTCAAGGTAAGGCTTTTGAACATTTCTAGCACTGTTTAAATATAAATTTTGTAAACCTTGTTTCAAAATTAAGCTTTTTTTGGGTGATAAAAAAAATGTTTAATATTAGATTGGAGAGTGGAAAAATATTTTGGAATACGGACTTGTTGAAGTGCTCTTAAAGACCTTAGTTTGTGTCATACATCAGTACGATTTAAGCAACACTCAAGACAGCAATCCTAATTTAATCATCACTGACATCAACAACTCTTTTTCTTCCATAGGTCAACATGCAATCCAAACATCAGGAAGTAACAACATGCAGGTGAGATATAAACGTCAAACTTTACAAGTGATGATTAATTAAACAATAATTGAATTTCCAGATTTACGCAGACGTAATAATGCAAATCGAATACGTCTATGGCCTTGAGAATAAAAGTTGTGGAGATGGGTCAAAGTGTTGTGTTGTCATTAAACAACTTCATTGCTCATACATTCAATCCAGCCTTAAATATATTGTCGATGCGGTTTCAATGCATTCAAGGCGATCCTATTTTTTTTCATCTGGTATTTACAATAATTATTTATATGTTTATCTTTACAATTTGATTTTTATATTGTTTGTAAACACAAAACACAAATGTACATTTTTCATCATGAATTTGGGTAATAACAAATGCAGTGCATTTGACCGAAGCACTTATCAACTTTTTTTTTTAATAACTTTATTTAAACTTTTAGTACCTTATAGTTGTGGCATAATGTTTAACGGCATCAAACAGTTCTTTGATCTTTAAGCTCAGCAGCTCCCCCCATTAATTATTTATACATGATTTAATCTAATTTAATCACAGTTAATTATAGTTAGTTATCATATCGGTGTGTCGCTTGCGCTTGAGTCTGCGGTGTGGACGTGCAGGAGGTAGGTGGTCCGGTATTCCTTAGATTTCTGTGTTTAGGTGGGACTGGAACTTGCTAAACATCTTCCGGTAGCTGTCTCTCAGAGCATGGTCCACTAGAGGAATGTCCAGGTCTCGGTGCAGTGAGGTATTTCGCACATACCAGGGGGCTCCAGTTAAAATCCGTAAGGCCCTGTTTTAAAATGTCTGGATTCTCTTAATTTGGCTGTTCGACTCTGAGGCCCGAAACCAGAGCCATATGGGTCGAATGAGGGATATATAAAGGGATAGTCTTTTGTTGCTCAGACTGATAGTTGGGCTCTTAAGTAGTGGTTTAAGGCCAATTAGTCTGCATCGTGATCTCTTTAGCACATCGCTTATGTGTTGATGCCAAGTCAGCCTCCGGTCAAGAGTAAAACCCAGATATTTTGTGTGTGCCGATTCACTGATATTCTTATTATTTAGTACCAGTTGTTCATTGGCTTTTTTCAGATAAGTGAACTGGACTAATTTTGATTTATCTGGGTTTAGCTTGACTTTCCACTTGTCCGCCCATTCAGAGACTTGGTCAGTGACTTGTTACAGGGTCTGTTGTACCTCTGTGCTGGTTTCCCCTGTGCTCAATATAGCCACATCATCAGCAAAAAGTGCTGTCTTGACTGTTCCTGGAATTTGGGATGAGAGATCACTCACGCTCACCAAATAGAGGAGAGGCCCCACAATGCTGCCTTGTGGGACATCAGAAGCACTTATCAAGAAAGAAAAACTGAGTCGTTGAGTCTTCCATAGGCTGATGTCTTACGCAATTGTTTTGACCGAAGTGCTTATTGGGAGAGAAAAACTGAGTCGTGAGTCATTCACAGGTTCATGTCATGCGTGGCTTTGACCAAAGGCTCATGTCACATGCTGCAGTTTTTACCAAAGCATTTATCGAGAGAGAAAAAATTGAGTCTTCTCATGCCACATGCAGCACATTTGACCGACGAAATTATCAAGAAAGAAAAATTGAGTCGTTGAGTCTTCTGAAAGCTCATGTTAAATGCAACAGTTTTGACTGAAGCGTTTATCGAGTTGTTGAGTCATCTAAAGACTCATGTCACATGCAGCGGTTTTGACAGAAGTATTTATCATGAGAGAAAAACCGATTCGGTGAGTCTTCCATTGATTCATGCCACACAGCGATTTTGACTGAAGGATTTATCAAGAGGGAAAAACCAAGTCTTTCCAAAGGCTCATGCCACATGCAGCGCTTGTGACTGAGACGTTTATCAAGAAAGAAAAACAGTCATTGAATCTTTCAAAAGTTCATGATACATGTAGCAGTTTTGACTGAAGCATTTATCAAGAGAGAAAAATTGTATTGGTATCTTCTGTAATCTTCCGTAGGAGTATATCACATGCAGTGGTTTTGTCTGAAGTGTTTATCAAGGGAGAAAAATGGAATCAGTGAGTCTTCCATAGGATCATGTCACAGCAGCGGTTTTGACCGAAGCGTTTATCGAGAGAGGAAAAACCAAATCAGATGAATCTTCCAACGTTGCAACTACTGAATACTAGGTGTTTTAAAACCTGTATAGTAGGGTAGTCTTACACCACTAGTTTTCAGTTTCAAAATGCGCATAATAAGCATTACTAAGTGTAACAGCACAGTGCTACCAACTTAGTTAAACGATTTGGTCAAAACATGAATCTTAGCGTAATGACGCACATAGCAGTTTCACTTTATTTTGTTTTCTTTAAAGGTGAAAAGATAAACATTATAACTTAAATATAATTAAAAATAAGCTCACTAGATATCAAAATGTTGGCATATGCTATATACATAATAAAAAAAGTATTTTTTGATTTTCGATATTGCTTATACTTTTTATGTAACTTAGTGTGGTGCTTTAGCCAATAAATTAATTGTTTTTTCTAATGTGTTTTTAGTCATGACATTTAACAATGATGATAACGAATCGTATAATTCGTCATCAAGCTGTAATGTCACACAGCTCGCCAGTAAACTTTCAAAATCCGAATTACATGACAGATTTAAAACTATAATCAGCAAAGCTGCTGAATTGGTCGTTTACACAGGTAAAGTTAACATTAAGAAATAAGATTGTAATGGTAAGTTTTTCCGAGTCATGCTGACAAGCGTTGTTTTTTTTACAGAACCGGTAAATGATGAAAACATCGTCAAAGGAGAAGAAATGAGGAGAGTTTCTGAATTTGCAAAGGAAGTCTGGCTCTTCATACTTCAGTCTTTAGTAACAATAATTGAAAGAAAATCAATGTCGACAAGATCATCATGGTCCAATGTTATCTGGGCCGTCAGAGAAACTGTCAGGTAAATTTTAACTCAAATTATTCAAGCTTTATATAATGCACAATATAATAGATTCTTGTTATTTAAAAAAAATTATTTAGTGATATTTATGTAAAGTATGTAATGAAAAAGCTAATGTCATGACTAGACTCGAACCTACAACCTCCCGCTCTTTACTCTGGTGCTCTGACTTTGGTCCCCCAGGACACAAAATCTTCATATCGACCTACAACTTTTTCACATTTCCCTCTTTTTGCCTTATATTCAAATTTCGAATTGGATGGTTTTAGTCAATCAGGAAGCTGCTAGTGAAGAGTGCATGTACTTCAATAATAATTGTTGTGTTCCACTCGTGACACTATTCCTTTTCAAGACAGTCACAAATAACCAAAATTGTCAAACAGTCTAGACGAGTCAGCTACAACTCCAACTCTTGAATGAACTTATCAACAAATCAACAAAAGGACTTTGCCCAAATGCAGCTTTCCAATACCAGTTTCCATGCTCAGCTTAAGCGTGTTTCAGGATCTTCTTTCTGCAGCTTCCTGGGTCCTTGACAGATGACTTTATGTCCTTGCTGGCTCTGGTCAGCTAAGTCCCAGACGGAGTGTGCTTGACTTTTGCTTTCCAAACCCCTTTTATACCAGTTTCTCGACCTGAGTAGGGGAGGAAAGGAAAATCAAGTTCATTGGGCCAGGTGGAATCGGGGGTTTTCCTTTATGGTCCCACATGATGGGAGGTTCAGTTAAGAAGGGTATCGCCCAGTTGACATGACCCTTTCATGGTGTCACACATTGCTGGTTGAATTGTGTCTGTGATAACATTCCCACACAAAATAACACTTCAACATTTGTTATTTAGAGGACAGACAATCTAACTATTGCAGTTCTATGGTCTCCAGGTTTTTGGGAAACACCACTTGCTTCCTTCTGGATGGGCGATTGCTAGGTTGGCCCTTGGAAAACAATTAACTACTACTTACTATACTAACATTTTATTATCCTCAACGAAATTACATAAATGAATTTTGTTTCTTGTCGATTATACAATAATGGTATATGGGATGGGGGCTTCCTATCAAGTGCAGGTTCCAGAATTACACATGAACTTACAGCAAAGGCTTGGGTTCCTATTTACAGGTGTTACAATTCCCCAAACTATTCTACGAAGACAGGATTGCCTAAACTACTCAGCCTGAGGGGGACAAAACACAAGACACTCACCAAGTATCAGCAAGGCGGCCGCGATCATCTTCTTCCATTTATATCAATGATCTGCCCGACTCCATCCAGTCCTGTCACCTATATGCCGATGACTCCCAAATATACATATCCTTCCACCCTTCTGATCTTCACTCGGCCACTCTCATGATCCAAAAAGATCTAAACTCCATCAACGAATGTGCCCATAAAAATTCCGTAGTCCTCAATCTGTCCAAATCCACCGCCATAATTATCGGGTCCTGGCAACTCCTTAATTCCCTCCCCAGCATCCCACCTCTCATGCTAAATAACCATCCCATCCCCTTCTGCTCTTCGGTTAAAAACCTAGGAGTAGTTTTTGACCTAAACCTTTCCTGGCATTCTCACATTTCCCAAATTTCCCGCTATTCCATTGCCTCCCTCAGCCTGTTTCGTCGGTCCTGGCTTCTCTTACCTTTCTCCACCCGCAAACTCCTTGTATCTTCCCTTATACTTCCTTTCTTCGATTATAGCTGTTTGGCATACGGTGGTCTCTCGGGGGGGAGTACGCGCGATTGAAGCGTATTATGAATTGTTGCGTAAGATTTGTGTACGGGGATCCCGGGTGTCGGGGTTGTATTCCCAACTTTCCTGGCTATTCCCCTCCTTCCGTGCACAGTATTTCCTAGGTTGCTTTCTTTTCCAGTCCATCCACACTCGTCGTCCTCCTTACATCATCCAATCCCTCCAATTCAACTCCTCACATCTCACTCGTAAGACCCGCTCATCCCCAATCGACCTTATCCTTCTGCAACATACAACCTATACCTTCGAAAGATCCTTTCTGATCCGAGCCCCTAAACTGTGGAACTCCCTTACCCTTTCTATTCGTCACGCTGCCTCCTTTTCCTCCTTTAAATCCCACCTGTATAATCACCTCCTCTCCCTCCAAGCAGAGACGTCACGTTAACATTTGTTATTTTTGTTTAATATTCTCGTAATTTTTTCTTCTGTCCTGCCTTATTGGTATACATTGTGCCAAGATTTCTCTTTTTTTTTTTTACTTTTAACTTCATAGTAGGAACTTCCTTTATTTATTTCATGTAAATTATTCTTAGGGGACACCAGTCCCAGAATAAAGTTATTTTTCTTCTTCTTCTTCCCAGCGTTAGAACAAGACTGACTCAATGTCCGCCGTGCGAAATGGGATCCGTCTGTCTCACATTTCTTCCCTCCCAGTCTATACACTTTTTCTACAACGTTAAATTAAACTAAAACTAATTGTCTCCCATATACTACAGCGATCTATCAGATTTACAGCCTTCTTTTTATTGGTTGTTTGTCTTATCTTAAAACTGTTTTTTTTTTTTTACTTTTTTGAACAACTATCTAAACTTATTCTAAGATGGGAATCTGTTTTTTTTTTTATTGGGGGCTACTGACAAAGGTGTCATTAGACCCCAATGCATTGCGAGGGCCAATGGGGGTGGAATATTGAGTACCCATCGGCCCTCTTACTCATGCACACCAACGCAACACATCTAAAGATGGGGAAATGCCTGTTTTCTTTAAAAGTTGGAACAGGGGACACAACAACATACACGTATGTCTATGGTCAGCCTTTATCTCCAGTGCCATGCCTACTTTTCTCCTTTAAGGGTTCAAGGCCTGGCACTTCTCGACTTAGTGTGCTTTCTTTACAAACAGGGCATCGTGCAGGGTTTGTACCAAAAACAGGTGACCGTATGTCAATTGAGTATGCCTCATAGAGGTGAGCACAATCCTTCCTTGTGTTTTTATTGGTGGGCTCAGTTTGCTCTTGACATGAAAGAGCTTCTCAGATTAAATGGCCCATTTATGATGCTAACATTGATCATGTTATGCAAGTATATTTATTTTGCAAATAACTAGTAGTAAATTACTATTACTACATTCACCAGTTTTATTATTTACATGTTTTATATTGATTTTTGTATTTTATATTTTCTAATAAGCCAGATATTAATTTTTCAGTTTTTGATGATTATATCTTTTTTTTTAGAACTCTAGGGTCTCAGATGTTTGTCTGGCTTCTTTCGCCATCGCACAGCAAGGATTTGAAAATGTTCTTAGTACAGACTCTCGTGAATGAGGCGAGGGCGAAGGACGTCCTCGTTTACATTATTTCAAATGCACAGCTTGAGAAAACCGTGGCGCTGTATTTGTGGGACCTGCGCCACTGCGTTACAGACATGTTAGACAGCGATATTCAAATGTGCGACGATATAATATTCAAAATTGAAGAGTGGTGCGGAAATTCCGTGCTGGGCATCATAAACGGGAGTCCGAATGACAAATCCGCTGAGCTAATTATGGAATGCGTTCAACAAAGTTTCGAAAGATATACTTGGAACACACCTCATATCACACAAATTCACAAGTATGTCAAAATTCCTTGTCACAATTATTATTTTTTAAATAAATTTTTAATTTGTAGGGTTGTATTCAGACATGAAACGCTTATAATGGAATTAACAGAGCGTACTTTTGGAGTGAGCAAAGAGGTCGACACGGTTCAAGGCCATCAGAAAAAGCTCCATCTCGAGACGATCAAGGCAGGCATGGGAGCAAAAGTGCTGACCGTTTTTAAGTGGAAGGAAATAATTTCAAATCTCACTCATGAACGCGCTGTATGGCATTTTCCGAATACATATCCTCAGTCTTGGGAGCTTGATCGTACAGAAGGGCCAGGACGAGTCAGAATTAGGCTGAGGCGCTGTCATTTAAAAATGGACGAGAGATATTTTAAGAAAGAATTCATCGTGAATTCCAGTATGTTACTTTTTCTCACTGTATTTTTGTATTTTTTATTTCTTAATTGTATAATTTTTTAGGAAAAGAAGTGAAACAACCATTCAGCTTTATTTTTGAAGGAGCGCTGTCAACTAGTTCTGCCCTTATTGACAGACTACATTCAAATACAAAAATAAGACATACATGCCAGGCAAGCGTCATTTCGCCCGATCTTGTACTTCCAGGAGAACTTTTAATTGGCCATTGTTCATTATATTTTGTACCAGGCTCTGATGGAAACACAATGGTAGTATATCAAATTTTCTTTTTTTTCCGATAACCAAGAAATTTTTCTCAAAATGAAATAAGCATAGATTTTAATAACATATAGCCTTTTTATGTTGTAAACCTGAAAACTTCATGACTGGAAGTATTATCATATATTTTTACTTAATTAAAAGAAAAAAAAGACAAAGCATTGCCAAATAATTTATGGAAATGTTTATTTATTTATTTTTTGTAAAGGAATGGGCATTCTCTGAGATCAAAGAACTTCATAAAAGAAGGTTTGAACTTCAGGATAGAGCACTTGAACTATTTTTGACAAATGGAAAAACTTATCTCATCGCTTTTGAAACATTCAAGGTATCTACGAGCTCAAATAAAACTCGAATATGATAATCAACTTGTGCCCTTTTTTTCTAGGATCGTGATAGTTTCATAGCTGTCCTTCACGAATGCGATCTCGGGAACAGAATGGCAAACGAGCAATTGAGCACCGCTGTGCAAATGTGGTGCGAAGGCTTGATAACAAACTGGGAATATTTAATAATATTGAACACCCTCTCTGGCCGGTCTTACAACGATTTAATGCAGTACCCCGTACTGCCGTTTATACTGTCTGACTACATGAGTGATGTTCTGGACTTAACTAACCCCAAGACTTTTAGGTAAGTTTGTCATTTCTTAATTAGTTCAAAATTTTCATTTTTTTTAACATACTTCTTTTGATTGAAGGAATTTAATGAAGCCAATTGCGATACAAGAAAAACAGAATGAAGCTCATTACATCAATAATTATAATGTAAGTTTTTCTTTTCAATTTTACAATTTACAAATTATCCTCATATGAGCAGGTGAAAGTAATAGAAATCTATCTAATATCTTTAAAAAAAGGCCACTTCTTCACTTTGAAATTTTGTTAAAAAAAAATTATATTCACTAACCCAACTAAAACATTGTTTTTCAATAGTGCATTTCATACAACACATTTCTCATTTTTAACTGACAGATTTAATCTGATGAATATATCACATCTTGCATTGCATCTTTTGTAATTAAGTGGAAGTTTGGATCGTCTGTTAAGTAGTAAGATTTTTAAGCTTGTTTTATGATCATAGATAATTTTTTTGTTTTTGAGAGTATTACTGATAAGACAAGTACATTAAAAAAAAATATTTCAAAGTGTGCCAATTTTTTTTCTCTAGTAATGTCTCGTATTAAGCTATTGTTAAAAACTATCTAATATTAAATTTATTTGTAGTATTTGCTGAATGAAATTAACAATGATGAGCCGTATCACTACAGCAGCCACTATTCGAACTCAGGGATCGTACTTCACTTTCTCGTCAGGCTTCCTCCTTTCACGAACATGTTCCTGAACTATCAGGTATTTTATTATCTGGCCTAACTATTTCTAGTTCCATAAAGTCAAGCGAGTATTATTTAAGGATAACAATTTTGACTGGCCCGATCGAACATTCCACTCGCTGAACACAACTTGGAGATTGACCAGTAGCGAATCAGTAACCGACGTTAAAGAATTGATTCCTGAGTTTTTTTTCCTTCCTGAATTTCTCTTAAATTTAGAAGGGTTCAATTTTGGAACGATGCAAAACGGTCAGATTGTTGATGATGTAATTCTACCTCCTTGGGCAAAAGATGCCCGATTATTTATACTAATTCACAGGTAGTTTTTTAAAATATTTTTTAAATTGGATTTTGGTAAATTTTGAAACATTTTAGGCAAGCACTTGAATCTGAAAATGTGAAGGAGTACATGCCTCATTGGATTGATCTGGTTTTTGGCTACAAGCAAACCGGTAAAGAAGCGGTAAACTCAATCAACGTCTTTCCTCCTGCGACATATTTCGGTTTTGATCCTGAATCTATAAACGACCCGATTGCTTGTTCGGCCCGGAAGTCAATGGTGAGGCTGTACGGACAGACCCCCAAACAGCTCTTCGACCACCCACACCCGATGGTCGTCAAAAACCTCACACCAACGCCGACCGCTCCGCCTGTCTTGCAAAGTAATTAAAGTTGAAATTTTTAAAAGACTCGTTTTAAAATATAATTTTTAGGTGTCAAAGGACTAAAATGGGGGCATTATGTGGGATCGCCAGCAGACAGCCCGCCTATAATGGTCAGCCAGCGTAACCACTATTATCCGATAACAACCCTTGTAGCTATGCTGAGCAATGATGTATTTGGTCTGGCGGCTAATTCCACATTGCTTCTCAGCTACATAAAGGAAACATCAACATTGACAGCAAACAAGGGTCCTTCGACAGTCTTTGGTATGAGGAAAACAAACATCACATAAAAATAAATTGACTAATTTAAATAAAAGAACAAGCCAGAACAGGAAAAAGCCCCCAAAAAGCCTTGAAATAACTAAATTTTGACTTGAATTTTTATACATCAAGCTAAATAATAATTAAGTTGATCTAATTGATTGAAATTGTTTCTAATTTAGGAGCTGCTTTGATAACTTGGTGTCATGGGGATGGAATAATTAGGGCGAAACTAACTAAAGATCAGGTTCCGTTTCCAGCAATCGGAGCGTACGGAGAGTCGATTTTATTTTGCACATCCATTCCTGATTGTAATCAGCTCTGGGTCGTTTACCTCTCTGGAAAAATAAACGTTTACAAGTAAGAGCGTTGTTTATACGATTGTACGTTTTATATTGACTATGTATTTTTTCTCCACCTTTAGATACTATTTTGATAATACAGGCAAATCTGTTGAATTTGATGAAGTCCCAGTGACATTAGTAGGCCACAAGGATATGATATCTAATGTAGCTATATCGAGGCTTTTCTCGATTGCTGTATCTGCTTCGCACGACGGTTCTGCTTCAATTTGGGACATAAATACTCTAACATATATTCGTTCCCTACCTGTGATCTCAATACCGGTAAATCAATGACTTAAAAAAAACCAAAAAAAAAAACACCTAATTTATTGCATAATTTAGATTACTTTGGTGAGCATAAGTGAAACGTTAGGTGACATCGCCACTGTAGGACAGGACCCTGGGGGTGGATCAATCCTTCGCTTGCACTCAATTAACGCCAAACTTATCGGGAGCTTAACCACTGAAGATAAAATCACAGCGATTACGATTTCTTCAGCCCCTGAAGGACTTTCAGTCAATGTTATCGCAACAGGAATGATCGACGGTGTTATAAGGTAATTACAATTAATATTTTATTTTTAAACAATTATTTAAAAAAAAAAATTTATATAGGTTGTGGAGTACTTGGGATTTGACACCTGTAGGAATTATTACAGCACCTGTTCTAGTTCAACCTATAATTTGGTAAATACTAATTCTTTATAACCTTTGTTAACTATTATTATTATTATTATTATTTAAAATTTATTTTTACAGTTTATCATATTCCCAAGATTCTCAACATTTATATGCTTCTACTGCTGAAGGCCTTGTTGTGATCTGGCAAGGGTCATCGTTGAAATCAGCAGCCGTCGTTCCAAGATTCTTAAATCTACAATAATCCATGTTTTTCAACGAAATGTGATTCAGCGTATCAAATCAGTATTGAATTGCGACAATAATTTTAAGTTTTTTGTTTTGTTGAATTTCGAGCGAATGAATTGACAAGAAACCAAACTTTCAATGAAAACAATTATCAATTTTTAGTGTGTGTAACAATTAACTTTTTTTTGTGTGATAAATTGTATATTCAAGATTTTTAAAAATTGTTGCAAAATGACTAAAATTACAACAGGCCTGTTACTTTTTTTAAAACTGAATGTTCGAAGTTTATTGTACAATAAAAATATTTATTTGTGCAATATTTCAAATGTGATATCTTTAATAATAGTCTCAGCCTTTTAGCTTGTAAAGTTTCTGATCTCAATAGTTTGTTTTTTTAGGTACATAATTGTTTTTTTTAACTTATGGAATGTGTAAAAACTTAGTTTTGTTAAATTTGCTGTCTACAGTGTTTTAAATTTGTTATACCAAAAATAATCGAGTAAGAAAAATAAAACCTGTCGATATTTTTAAATAATGTAATTGATTAAAGTTAAAGCGTGAACATTTCTTGAACAATAAATATACGGCCAAATTTTCGATAAAATGTTTTTGTAATTTATATACGTCTGAAAGAAATTGCATAAAAAAAGTAAAATTATATATATATATGTTATTATTTTATGTGGGTTAGCGTCCTACGTTGTTTGTTTTGATAATGCCATTTGTATTTAATCATCACCATTTAATGAATAAACAAGTTAATTTAATAAATATATTTTTATAAGTATATTGTAATTTATTTCTAAAATGTGCGTTAATTAATATCTTTGGGAGATAAAAGATTAGATTTAAACGAATTTCCCTAGAAATAGCTCTCTATTAATGAACACATGTTAAATTGATCAATATTTAACATTTCTGTTCACCCTATTAAAAAAAAAAAAAAAAAAAAAATGGATGGAAGACGGGTTATCTTGCTTTGTTGATGAAGTTCAACCAGACTTTAGAACCAAGCATCTCTTAAAATGTGAGTAGTGATGATGTTGGTGCAATATCATGGTTTTAAATATGAGGTGTGTCCTGTGCATTTCGCAAGAATAAGAAACCTAGATAGAATCCATGTTAGGAACTGTTTTCCCTTTGAGGGCTGTCATCTGTGGTGCACGTATCAAATTTTCACGTTTTACACCATTCGGATATTTTTTTGTAGTTTTATAGTGGGACTGCTTGAGTGTTTCTTGGGCCAGTCGGCTCACCCTGAAACGCCAAAAGCTTCGCAGTCCCGGCTAGTTATCCACAACGCAAGACAAGTCTCTGATTCCTACTGACAAGGTTGGCATGTATCTATATCTGCTTAGCCCATCTTGTTAAGATGATAGCTAAGAGGGCAATTTTCCTCAAATCCTGCCTGCTGAGAGAGAGGCATTCCTTTGCCATTCGTTTTGAGATTTATAAATCTCTTAGCTTGCCTCATACCTGGTGCATTTGTCCAGGGCTTGAGGTTTTCTTTCTCAATTTCCAGTTCCAACTTAAGCACACACTCCGGTGAACCTAGTGGTTCTGGCCCCTTGGGTGAGAGGGCTGCCCCCTTTTTGGCTCTCACTCGTAAATACATTCTTTCCTATTTCCACCCTTCACTCAGGATGGTAAAGTACTCGATATTCCTCTCACCCAACACATTACATAGCTAATTTAATTGAGTGTCGATGGCTACTCATTCCGCCATCAGCCAGCTCATCAATCTCGCTAATAAATACATTCATTGCAATCCATAGAAGGTAAAACAAGATGAGATATAAAATAGTATCACATAATTTTTTTCTGCTCTTTCTCTGGTACACCCTGTGTAAGTAATCAGTAATTCTCCACAATTTTAAAAACAATTGTCTTGAAGCCTGATGAGATTCCTCGCTAATTACAATTGGGGAGCGAATAGAGACATTCTTTTAAGAATATTCAGCATGTACTTAGGAGGAAAGTTTCGATATGGAACAGCAGGTTACTCTTCAGTGCGAATATCAACTTTAAAACCTCTAGATAGAATTTATTATCAAGGTATCAGGATTGCAACAGGGGCGTTTAGAACAAGCCCTTTATATAGTCTCTGCAATGATGCCGGTGTCCTTCCTCCGGAACTTTTCAGGGAGGAGGCAATTCTTAGGTTTGTTGCTAGACTTTGGTCTAAGCCTTTCCATCTTCTATTTCCTTCAGTTTTCCGTAACCCTCACCAAGATATGTACTCGTTCCTAAGAACTAGGACGAGACCTCTCAAAATCCGCGGTACTGAAATGTTGAGATTAGGAGGGAATACCTTGCCGGCGGTTGAGGGTTTTAAATTGCTAGATATCCCACTGTGGGCATTACCTACTGCCACAATTATCGAAGATCTGGCCTTGTTGAACAAAAGAGAAACACCTTCTCTGATGATNTTTGCTTCCCACATGTATTAAAAATGTACATAGTATAAGGATATATAAAAAAAGATAGGACTCTTTTATTAAAACAACAACTTAAGTTAGTTTATTTGGTTTGTACAAATTAAATTAAATATAGAAAAATTGTTTAATTTTTTTAAACAGTAGTAACAAAAATATAATTTTTATATAAATACAAATTACAGTTGAGCAATTGTTTTTAACACAAATTTTATTGAATTTTTTTTTTGCTACCAGGTAACCAACTACTAGAAATGCACTGACATGCTGAAATTTTTCTCTTTGTTAAATCCCACAGTTTATAAATAAAAAGAAAAGAGAAAAAAGAAAGTTAAAATGTCTATATACATTCCGACCTATCCTCGTGTCGAATTTTTATGATAGCAGTCTTGTATTGTCATAAAGCCGAAGCAGGCAGCCAATAAATAAATGTAGAAATTCAGAAAAGGATTTTAGAATCTTTTCGGCCGCAATCTAGCACCAAACGGTATATTCGCAGCCCCGACGTCAGCCTGATTGCTGATGGTTTCCGGCACGATTTCCGCCAGGACGAGTCCTCTCGCCGTTTTCCCTTCTTTCCGGGTACTCTTAGGGCTCAGCTCTTTGGACAGGACATGGCCGGTGTTCTCGTATATCTGAATTGATTTCTGAAGTTGAAAGTTTTCCTCTGGCTTGACTATTTCGACATTTTGTGTTGTGTCAATGTTAGGGGTTTTCGTCTGGGATTTTACATTTTCGTTGGTTTCAGGCTTTTCTTCTTGAGGTTTTTCTTGTTTTGGGCTTTGAACCGTTGATGGGGTTTGAGCTGGAGTAGGAGTCGTATAATAAGGCGTGAAAGTTTGCACGTGATTGACAGTGCTGGCAAATTGATTCTTGACTTCTAATTCGTCTTTTTTGTCTGTGGGTTTTCTCTTCGATTCAATTTGTCTAGAGGAAATTTCATTTTCATCTATTTTTTTAAAAATCTCTTCTTTCTCATTGCCGGCTACTTCGTTGTCTTTGAAATCGTCGAAAAGGTCCCCGGAGGTGGACAGGTCATCGGTGTTCAATTGGAATCCCATGCTGGCCGTCGGGAAGCTGTTGCTGCCGTAAGCGCCTTGCTGAGTCCTTTCGTCGTAGTTGAACGTCTGGAACTGCGGGGTAAAATGTTGCACAGACTGCTGAAGGCCGTCTCCGTGATAATCCTGCTGCAGGAGAACACCCGGGTTGTATAACTGGAGGTTGGGCTGGAAGAGCGGCTGGCTCAGCTGGGGGAAGAGATTAACAGTACTTCCTTGTTGATAATTGAGGAGATTAAACAGGTCTTGTGCGGTGAGCGAGTTCGAATTATCCGCTTGTTGATGGGCGGCGATTTTATCGGCTTCCTGTTGTAGGTAGACGTCGAGAGGTACTTGTCCGTTGCTCGGGATCGAATGCGGATCTGAAGTCGCGGGCACTTTCACTGCTGGCACGCTTGGATCCGGATCGGGGGCGAAGTAGGAAGGCTTATCTGAGTTTGGTTGATGCAAACTCGGGTCTTCGGTTACCTAAAAAACAAAGAAAAAAATCATTCCTCTTATTTGTGCGTGTATGTATAAAGTTTCCCATTAGGTGAAAGTATGCATACCACGACAAGCGACTAAATTTCAGAATTTTTTAAAAGGCATAAAACAAAAATGGTAGTTCAACCACCCCAATTTTATATGGCAGGAAATAAGTCTAAAACTGAGGACTGTTGAATGCTGATAGCGATCTCAATAGTTCATTATCTTGAAGTTTTTCAAAATTAAACGATAAAAGTCATTTTAGGGGCTTAATTTTGACTTACAACCTCAAACAAATTTCCAATTGGGAGGTTAAAAAATTGGGTGGATAAAGATAAAGAAGCTCTCGCGTATTAAGAGCAGCAACTCCTTGGCTCTATCATTCAATCAATCAATCAATCAAGTCACCTCTCAATAGCAATGTCGATAGGTGGCCCTGACAGGATCTGACTCGTAGGTCATCCTCACCCGATTAAGAATTGGCCATGTGAGGTTGGCACACGGACACTTTTGTGTCCGACATGTATAAGATTGTGATGTGTCCCACATTTTTGAAGGGTAAAAATCCTTGGCTCTATATAGAGAATCGAGTCACCTATCAATAGCAATGTCGATAGGTGGCCCTGATAGGATCTGACTCGTAGGTCATCCTCACCCGATTAAGAATTGGCCATGTGAGGTTGACACACGGACACTTTTGTGTCCGATATGTATAAGATTGTGATGTGTCCCACATTATTGAAGGGTAAAAATCCTTGGCTCTATACAGAGAGTCATGCCACCTATCAATAGCAATGTCGATAAGTGGCCCTGATAGGATCTGACTCGTAAGTCATCCTAACCAGATTAAGAATAGGCCATGCGAGGTTGACACACGGACACTTTTGAGTCACCTTTGTGTCCGACATGGATAAGATTGCGATGTGCCCCACCTGATTGAAGGGTAAAAATCCTTGGCTCTATATAGAGAATCATGTCACCTATCAATAGCAGTGCCGATAAGTGGCCCTGATAGGATCTGACTCGTAGGTCATCCGCACCCGATTAAGAATAGGCCATGTGGGGTTGACACATGGACACTTTTGAGACACTTTTGTGTCCAACATGGATAAGATTGCGATGTGCCCCACCTGATTGAAGGGTGAAACTCCTTGGTTCTATACAGAAAGCGTGTAGGAATGCCACCCGACATGGGAATCGACCAGGACGTCAGCGAGTATCCGGGCCCCCTGTACCGATTTTCGGAGGAAACAGGGTTGTTTACTACTGATAGTTATGTGTAGTGTTAGTTGAGGTTGATGAATTGGTAGGTCGTTTCTGTTCATTTTGAAGGCGTAAGACCAAACTATCAACTCAGCGAAAATCTGTGGACCCTTGAAATATTTTTCTTGAAAAAGTCTTTTCCCCAGGTCCTTTTCTCTTCTTCAAGATTCACAACTGACAGATGACCTTTTGAACTTGTATTTTGACAGGCTACTCGTCGAAACGTAAATCTCGTCTTTAGAAATCTTCCCGTGTCCTTTTTATGTTTTTCATGTTTCAAAGGGGCGATATAAGAATCAAAACTGGACAGTTAGTAGAAGCTGAGGGCTTTCCAAATGCTAATCGGATTCCGTTTTGTCTAGGCTTGCCCGAGGCACCTCTAGACCTCGAAACCGGTCCTGTTTTGAATTTCTTGAATTTCTACTTATGATTTTCGTGAAAAATGATTACCTTTCGAATAAACTGCTTTCAAAAATAATTACAAACAAATGTATGACTATCTTACTGCCTGATTCATAAAGTACGTAAAAAAAAACTTTCTATCGTATAAAATTGAATCATGCTAGTAAACTTTCTATAAACTCTATCTTTACACAATATCATAAAAGTATTTGATAAAAATACCTTGTATCATCGTATTTTAAACAGGATTTTAAAGTTAAATTTACTATTACCATTGTATGTGGTTTATGCTCTAAAAGTTAGTTAAATAGCACCAATTTGCTTTGTTTGTAATACTTTTTGCAGTGTTGCCATTGTATTATGGTTTAAGCACAAATATACTGGCATGGACTGTGAACACGAAGGAATTTTGGGTAACGAAAAGGCAGACACACTGGCAAAAGGAGGATCTGCAAGGCCATGTATAGGCCCTGGGATGAAAAATACAGACTGGATCCAAAAAAAGAAACCCTAAAGGTGCTAGAAACATTAAACTTATGCCAAAACAACACTCATCAAGACTGGCAAACCCTCTGGCTAAATTAAGAGGAGTAATAGAACTATTGAGAGTGGAAGAAGAGAGGTTCTGCCATGGTGAGGAGGAAACAGCAGAAGTTATTACCCAACCATATGACTCCTACTAGCCGTTTGTCATCTCAGAAACAAATATTTACAGAGATTTGATTTACCTGGTATCCTGTACTGTGGGGTACATTGACTTTGTGTATGCCGTGTTGAAGAACAGCTACGAGATCATCTTCAGGTTTATACATCTTCTGTCCGCCAGAATGGCCGTGGTTGTGAGTGGGTGCCAGGAACTCGTTTTGCTTCAGAAATATGTTAGGTTTGTCGGCCGGGCCCAGGTTGGGAGCTGGTATCGTGTGGATGGGGCCTTTGTCTTCGTTCTTGACGAAAGACGGGAGGTAAGAAGGCGGCGGAAGGTTGAACGTTTCTTTCACCACGGGTGCCCTGAAGGGGTTGAAGTGCTTCCAAGGGTTGTACAAGGCCTTCTGGGCGAAGTTGGGCACCCTTTGGAACTCCCTGGAATGGGCCGTGTTCTTGTGGTGTACGTGACCGTGCGGACCTCTGGAATGGGGGTGGTACGGGAGTATGTGAGGGGTCATGTGGTGCTTAGGAGGGTGAGGAGGGTAGATCCGATAAGGATGAGGAGAGTGGTGGTGGTGAGAAGGTGGATGAGGACCATAATGGAGGCTGGCAGGCGGCACTGGAGGCGGTGGGGGCGCCCTGATTTTATAATATCCTCCTTCTACTACTCTCGCACAAATAAAACTCAGCAACACCAGGAAAATCTATTAAAAAACAAAAAAACAACAACATAAATATGAGTTGGTCTGCGAATGGGTGAACACATGTTAAACTGATCAGACGACTAAATTCGTTCCTCACTGAAGATGGCGGGAAGATAAAACGCTTATAAATGAAACATGGACGGGCAAGATTAAACGGACTTAATAAAGTTTAGATCAGCTCAATATTAATGTGATGAACATATGTTAAACTAATCCCTGAACTGTCCGTTCCCCACTGAAGATGGCGTGAAGATAAAAACGTATAAATGAAACATGAACTTGCAAGAATAAACAGACTTAATAAAGTTTAGATCAGTTCGATATAAATATGAGTCGGTTGGTTTGAGAGTGGGTGAACACATGTAAAACTGATCACAAGACTGAGTTGGTTCCTCACTGAAGATGGCGTGAAGTTAAGATGCGTAAAAAATGAGGCACAATTAAAAAGAATAAACGGACTTAATAAAGTAGTTTAGAGTAGCTGAATATAAATATGAGCCGGTTGGTCCGCGAGGAGTGAACACATGTAAAACTGATCACACGACTGAGTTGGTTCCTCACTGAAGATGGCGTGAAGATAAAATACGTATAAATGAAACATGAACTGGCAAGATTAAACGGACTTAATAAAGTTTAGTTCAGCTCAATATAAATCTGAGTCGGTTGGTCTGCGAGTGGGTGAACATATGTAAAACTGATCACATGACTGAGTTGGTTCCTCACTGAAGATGGCGTGAAGATAAGGTGCGTAAAAAATGATGCATAATTAAAAAGAATAAACGGACTTAATAAAGCAGTTTAGAGTAGCTCAATATAAATATGAGTCGATTGGTCAGCAAGTGGGTAAACATATGTAAAACTGATCACAAGACTGAGTTGGTTCCTCACTGAAGATGGCGTGAAGTTAAGATGCGTAAAAAATGAGGCATAATTAAAAAGAATAAACGGACTTAATAAAGCAGTTTAGAGTAGCTGAATATAAATATGAGCCGGTTGGTCCGCGAGGAGTGAACATATGTAAAACTGATCACACGACTGAGTTGGTTCCTCACTGAAGATGGCGTGAAGATAAGTTGCGTAAAAAATGATGCAAAATTAAAAAGAATAAACGGACTTAATAAAGCAGTTTAGAGTAGCTCAATATAAATATGAGTCGGTTGGTCCACGAGTGCGTGAACACGTGTAAAACTGACCACACGACTGAGTTGGTTCCTCACTGAAGATGGCGTGAAGTTAAAATACATATAAATGAAACATGAATTAAAAGAATAAACGAGCCTAATAATGTGATCAGTTTAATAGAAATATGAGCCGGTTGGTCCACAAGTTGGAGAAAACATGTTAAACTGATCAGGTAACTGTATGTTCCTCACTGATGATGATGTGTAGATAAATGTTTAAAAATGAAACATAAATTAACAAGAATAAACGTACTTAATAAAGCAGTTTAGGCCATTTCAACATAAATATGAGTCTGTTGGTCTGCAAGTGGGAGATTAATGTTAAACTGATCACAGCTGAGTTCGTTCCACACTGAAGATGGTGTGAAGTAAAGACCATATAAGTGAAGAAGTTTAATATTCTAGGCTAAATTGACTGCCTAATTACAATCTTCTCAAAGAATTGATTACACACTCGTCAAAAAGGCGCCGTCAATCAGTCAATAGTTGACTGTTGACTTTCACGGTTATTACGCTCGACTTTGATTTATCACAAGGGTGAAAGGCATGACGAGGGAAATGTTGGGAAAGCAGAACGGTCAATATTGACTATAGTGTCGGGTTTACCCCGTGGTCAATTGCCTATATGAAAGGAAGAATGTAAACTCTGTTCACCCAATCAAACGACACAACAAAAAGAATCACCTGCACAGGGGCTTTCTAATTAAAAAAAAAGTTCTGAAGTTTATGGATGAAGTCGCACTTTAAAACGTTAAGATTCTAATAATTATTTTTAAATTAATGTTAACACGGTTTACTTTTAGATTTAATATACTCCAAGGAATACTAAATAAATGATTTGTGAAATGATAATTGATAAACTAATGATCCAAGCTTAACATTAAGAAATAGTACTAATTATGTTTGACCTATTTCTGTTATTTATGAATCTATAAAAAGATAATGTCAAAATATTAATTGGCCAACATAGTCAAAACATTATTTCATCTCATTTAACAGGAAATATTATTATGCATGCAGTTTCAGCTGAAGAAATCGCCTATTTAATTTGCTAAAACTTAAAAAAAAAAAAAACTACTTGAATATCCGGAGTGGAAAAACGCGAAAAACAAGTTCCATGAACCGGTTTCAGCGAGTCTTTTTCCATTTATCGACCCGTTCCAAATGATTACCATTATTAATAATCTTCAGTTAAAAAAAAGTTTCTGAATAAATCTTCAATTTGTATGGTAATCAATCAATACAGTAATAACCGATGGGTTGATGAGCTAATTTTATGAATATTTTATAATCGTCAACAAGTATTAATAAAATTATACATTGTTGATTTATTAGAATTACTCAGCCTGCTATGAGTGCTGGTTATTGACTTAATCTTTGATAAACATCCTAAATTTTTTCATATTTCTCCCTCTAAGATTTCTATAAAAGATGCTTTGGTTAGCCTGTCTTATTCTTTACCTTTCAGCCTGAAGACTATTGTGGATGCCTCTTACTAACAGGGCATGCTAAAAGTCCTACTAAAAAGTAATTTTTTACTTGGATTTCTTGCCTTTACTGATTTTAAATATCGATTCTTTCTTTAAGCTTTCGCGATAAGTAAAGTCTAGCTTTAGAAGCCCTAAAGTGGTTCGTTCTATTCTGGGCCATTTTAGTTCTGATAAAACGATAAAGTTCATCCAGCCTAGTTTTTTAACTATTTGAGCTTCTCAAAATTATTAGAGAAAAGATGGTTAATGTGATGGCTTTCACGTTATTCTTTGCATTGCGCTTTATTTTCAAATACTCTGGGATTAAAATATCCTGACTAAACCCACCAGTTTTAGCTGATCAGCACTAGTGAGTAGGGCAGTACACAAGATTACTATGTTAGAGTCCAAAGTTTTTCTATGATTTATATATATATTTTTCACCCGTTATCCTGATCGTCTGATTATAAACAGATAGTTAAACTTGTATTGAATTGGGTTTGGGATTTATTTGTAATTTGTCCGGAGGTTAACGATCTTAGACTAAAAGTTCCTTGCTTCCCTTAGCATATGTCATACTACCTAGTTGTTCCGAGCCAGAATATTGTTAGATCTGAGGATTAAATCTACAATTTTATTTTTGGCCGTTCGGTACTGTTTCGGTTCTAATTTTACCTCGGAATACCCGAAGCGAGAATTCAATGGCGACAATAATGTACATTGACTCGAGGAAAACAAAAACCCGCAAGACCTGCAAGTCGTGCGGAACTGTATCGGCAATTAAGTCGTTTGTTTCTTAAAAGGCCATTACCGTCCGATTCTTCCTTCCATTTGGCTTTGAATCCAATTAAGTTTTGTTATAGCCGTATTGAAATTGATTGAATTAAAAAAAACCTCTCATTTAAATGTACGATAAAAAGAGAGAAAAAAAGAGAGAAAGAGATAACATCACAGATAAATAGATAATGAAAGAGAGATAAATAGAGAGATAATAGAACTTTTAGGAAAAGAAAATTTGAATGGACTGAACAATTTTTCTTGTAGTTTCTCTCCATCGTTTTCCTACGTTTATGTCAGTTTTCCTTAATACTAGTGTCGCGAAAGTATTCAGCATGTGAGATATAAAAAAATTTAGCATTTTGCCTTTCAGTAGCTCTGTATTAAGAAAATAAAAGGCAATAAATAAAAGTTTGAGACGAGAAATGGTTCGATAATTTTGGATGCACATCTACTATTGGGTTGGTTCAAAATTTATGGAGGATTTCAAAATTTTGTTTTATTTTCGCAGGTGCAATGTCATATAAACAAAGCTAAATCGTCAAATTTAATTGATGGATAATAAATACTTTTAACAATTATCTTTAATATAAAATATTTTAGTTTATTCACTAATTTCGTGGTCCGCTTGACCAATTAATATATTACAATTAATTAAGGTTTTTAGTTGAGATAAAAAAGTCAATGGCACGAGCGGGATTCGAAAAATGGCAAAAAGGAGGGAAAATTCTAAAGGTGAGGTTGAGATGGGGAGTTGATGTCCGAGTGGATCGAGGTCACGATAGCTCAGGTGGTAGAGCAGCGGCGTATCTAGCCGAAGGTCGTGGGTTCGAATCCCTCTCGTGCCATTAACTTTTTTTCATCTCAACTAAAAACCTTAATTAATAGTTATGATTATAATTACTATGTTTCTTAAATGGGATTGCCGTCTTCGGTTTGGCTTTGAATACATAGGTAATGGATAGAGGGATAAAGAAAGAAAAACAGAAAGAGGGAGAAAAAGGCAAAATAAAAAAGACGATACATCGAGATACAAATAAAAATAGAGATAAAGAGATACAAATAGAAAAAGAAATAAATAGATGAAGAAATAGGTAGAGATAGGCAGACAGATAAACATAGAGATAAAAGTAGATAGGTACAGAAAAACAGATAAGATAGAGATAGATATAGATATAAATGAAGATAGAGATACTTAGAGATAGACAGATAGATGGAGATAGATAGACACAAATAAAAAAGTGATAGAGATAGATAGAGAAAAAGGTAGAGATAGGTAGGCAGATAAAGATATAGATAGAGGTAGATAAATGTAGAAAAAAGGTAGAGATAGAGATGCAGATAGAGATGTAGATATAAATGGAGATACAAATACATAGACAGATTGACAGAGATAAAGATATATTTGCACAAATAGAAAAGAGATGAAGATAGATTGAGAAATAGGTAGAGATAGGCAGACAGATAAAGATAGAGGTAGATAGATATGGAAAAACAGATAAAGATAGAGATAGATAGTCACAAATAGAAAAGAGATGAAAATAGATAGAGAAATAGTAGAGATAGGCAGACA